CGTTTGATGTTAGTGTGAAGCCCCCCCACCTCAGGTATAACAGGGCTGAATGTGAGGCAGTGGGACACCCCCGGCGACTTGACAGCTGCACGGAGCTTTTCAAGGCGTCGTAATTTTCGATAATATCCCAGCGCTCGCGCGCGCGCACCGCACTCTTCTCCACGATTTGTGTATGAATAACCGAATAATTCGCCCCCCCCACCTCCTTTTGTTCCATCTGTGCTACCTCAAATCCAAATAAAGATGCCTTTTAGTATTAAAAGTGGTAGAAAATTACAGGTAATTATCTTTGACGGTAAAAACGCTGTAATCAGCGGGCTACATCAAAAATTACCCTAATTATGCCTGCATTTATGAGAATGGGAGAGGAGGAAGAGAAAAAAAAACGGCTCACTTGGATAAAAACCCACAAATTGTCCCAAATATCTCCTTCATATTGAACGCCGCTGCAGCTGGCTGCTTTGTTCAGCATCGATCCCGTGGAGCTTGGCATTTAACGGCCTGCATTAGGACGGAGGGAAGGGAGAAAACATTTTGTCAATACTTCTAATCACTGGGGTAGAAACGACGAGATGAGCTGGACCTGGAGCAAAATGTCTTTCGGGTAAGTTAATTTCCTCTGGCGTCGAGGGCGTTTGATAAATCTGTCTTCGTCACCCACTGAGTTTATTTCAAAATGTTTGATGAAACGGGGGTTTTGACTAATCATTTTTTTCTTGTATGTTATAAACTTGAATGCACCAGGGTGACGGGGGATTAAGGCCTGATGYGATGTTGGCCCAATATGAAGCAGAGAAAAAAGAGGCCTGACATGAATACTTTACTTTTTTTCTTTCTTTTTTTGATAAGAGGGAAATCATGCAACAGCAGGCGTCTGTTTGAGTCACGGTTTACTCATTCTGACAAAACATAAAAAGTGTATGTACAACTAAAAGTTTTGCAAATTATATTTACAGACAGACAATTTGCTTGCATGTTGGAGAAACAACCAAAAAATATCCAAAAAATCAAATGCAGTCAGGAGTCCATCATGGTAACCAAGAAAAAGAAAAGAGTTCTGTGCGTCAAAGCGCATGGAGCGAGTCTTTCTTTCCTGGAAATAAATGTCTCTTATATTTTTTGGTATATTCGGATATGACATGAATGAAAGCAGACCAAATGCCACTGAACAGCCGTTTGAAAAAAAAAAGTAGTCCTCGTGTTTGTGACTCTGCACCCGAGGCTAGACTGTGTTTTGTCCTCTGTCCTTTCCTGCATCCAGTCTTTGCGCTGACACACAAATTGAAGGACTGCAAGATGGAGATCCGCATTAGGGGCCTGCAGAYAAGCTCACTGATTCTTCCAACCCCTCCTTACTGCCTCGCCAGTCTATCTCTGCATTGAATCTTGATGTGGGGAGGAATACCAGTGAGAGTAGCCGGCCATATAGCTGTTGGCCGGCATGTTTACTCCTTTGGAAGTGGCCGAGACGTCCCAGATTGGAGGGATGGTCGGGGAGCGCGGTGACAGGGACAKGGAGCCCGGGATGGGGTCGCTCTCGTGCGGGTTGGCACCTTGCTTCAGCAGCTTCTTGAACTTTGATCTCTTATTCTGGAACCAAATCTTTACCTGCGAGACAAYACACAAGCTTAGTTTTGTTCATTTTTAACTAATCAGATTAAATATTAGTATAGAACAATAATAATAAAAAAGATGCTTCCTACCTGTGTTTGTGTCAATCCCAGAGAGGCCGCCAGCTCCGCGCGCTCAGGTAAAGCGAGGTACTGCGTCTGCTGGAAACGGTGGTTCAGTGCTTGGAGCTGCAAACTGGAATAAATCGTCCGCGGTTTGCGAATCTTCTTGCCTTTCCCATTAAAACGAATCTCCCCGTTTTCAATCACTGTCGTTTTCTGCTGCTCTGCAACAAAAACAAACAATGTTATTAATTTAAACACAAATAATAA